GCATCTGGTGAGTCTTCTTTGGTGATGGCTTTACAGCAAGGCAGGGTCTCACTTGGCAGAAAATGGTGGAGCAGAGAGCAGAGAGACTAACCGTATTCACTCTCTTTTTATTTTTTATTTTTTCCTTTTTGTCTTTTTTTCGTGTCCGGAAATGGATCGCAACCCTCAGTGTCGCGCCCGTACCGGACCGGGACTGGCAACAGGATCGCAACCCTCGGTGTTGCTCCCACACCTCGCTCAGCCAGTGAGCGGGAACCGGTCTGTATGTGGGATCCGAACACTCGGCGGGAGTGCCACCACGCTCCCAAGCGGCGCACTGTAGCAGTGCGCCACCGGGCCGGCCCTCACTCTCTTTTTAAAGCCCTCAGAACCACACCCGTGACCACCATTATTAATCCATTCACTACAGCATGGTCCTACAATCTAATCACCTCCCCAATGTCCTACCTTTCAATTACCATAATAGGATTTTCCACCCTCAACAGTTACAGTGAGGATTAAGCCTCCATGAGGTTGGGGGGCATCCAATCTGCAGCAGAGGGTTTAGGATGACTGGGTGACTGAGTAGTTAGCCTGGAGTGCTTCTTTTCAAAACTCTGGAATTGTCTTCATCAAATATCCATGGTTTGCAATCCTTTATACAAAATTTCTAAATTTGAAAAATTGTGAAAACCAAAAGTTTTTTCATTACCTATTTGGCTATAAAACTTAGTCAGACCTGAACTTATTTTGTGGCAGAACCTGACTTAAACTTACATGAAGTTATTTATAGTTTTCACTGATCCCTCTTTCATTTATCCCATAATGAATATTCATACACGTCATTGCAGAAATATTAATTTGATTACTGAGTGCTGTCCAGATGCAATTGGGATTGTTACCTTATACTTGTATATCGTATATGCATCACATTATCTTTCTAAAATCCCCAAAATTCTGAAACACATTTACCATCCAGATATCCCATCCCATTTACTCATCAGTCTTGGCCTGAGTTCTTTCGGCTTTTTGCATAAATCACATGCACCTGCAGATAATGAATATTCATTGCAGTGTGTGCTACAGACTAGAGGTGATTCTCAGTGTTTTGAGCAGTGTCCTCATTTATTTTTTTTATTTTTTATTTTTTTCAAAAGATGACCGGTAAGGGGATCTTAACCCTTGACTTGGTGTTGTCAGCACCACGCTCACCCAGTGAGCCAACCGGCCATCCCTATGTGGAATCCAAACCCGCGGCCCTGGTGCTATCAGCACTGCACTCTCCTGAGTGAGCCACGGGCCGGCCCCAGTGTCCTCATTTATTTTTTTTATTTTTTATTTTTTTCAAAAGATGACCGGTAAGGGGATCTTAACCCTTGACTTGGTGTTGTCAGCACCACGCTCACCCAGTGAGCCAACCGGCCATCCCTATGTGGAATCCAAACCCGCGGCCCTGGTGCTATCAGCACTGCACTCTCCTGAGTGAGCCACGGGCCGGCCCCAGTGTCCTCATTTAAAACAAGGCTAAAAGAGCCAACCAGTTAGCTCAGTTGGTTACAGCGTAGCCTTTTAACACCGAGGTCTTGGGTTAGGATCCCTGTACCAGCAAACCACTACATAAATAAAAAAGCATGAGTATCTTGAAGTGACAGCACTCATTTGGATAAGGTGTGATGTATTTATGGACAACCAGTCTCCTTACAGTACACCTCATTTACACATTTGAATAAGTCAGTGGTCAATGATCTCCTGGAATTAATTCTCAAACCTGAAATTAGTTTCCCTGTTTTTGCCTTCAGCCAAAACTAGGCTGGCAGGTTAACTCAGTTGGTTAGAGCACCACCTTGTAACTCCAGGGTCAAAGGTTTGGATCCCCATACAGGCCATCCTTAAAAAAAAACCCCAAAAGAACCAAAACCAAAAAAGAAAAACAAATGGTAAGCTCTGAATGGACTTGGTAGAAAAATGATGTGTGTGTATATATATACACACATATATAATATACATATGCATTAGTAAACTATTTTTTAAAAGTGTTAGATTTATAGAAAAATTGAAAAGATAGTATAGAGAGTTCCCATATACCCCACATCCAGTTTCTCCATTATTGTCTTACATTAGTATGATACATTTGCAACCATTAATGAACCAGTATTGATACATTATTATTAACTAAAGTCTATAGTTTATTCAGATTTCTTCAGGGGTTTTTTTACCTAATTTTTTCTTTCTGTTCCAGTATTCCACCAGCAATACCACATCACATTTAGTTCTCATGTCTCCTTAAGCTCCTCTTGTCTGTGACAGTTTCCTTGTTTTTGATGACCTTGACAGTTTTGAGAAGTACTGGTCAGATATTTTGTAGGATGCCCCTTTATTGGAATTTGTCTAATGTTTTTCTCACAATTAGACTGGTATGGGTTTGGAGAAGGAAAACCACAGAGGTACAATGCCATTTTCATCACATAATATTAAGAGTACATGATATCAACATGATTTATTATTGTTGATATTGACCTCTCTAGGTCAGCAAAGGGAGTGTGTGTGTGAGACATAGGATGACCATTGTAGCAGATTGGCCTAGACTTTTCTTTCTGAAGGTGAAATTTCTTCTCTTGCCCATACTTCAGCCCCCTTTTGACTCTTTGAAAATTCCTTGGTTTGAAAGCTTGAAACTTCTCCAGAAGTTACCCACTTCTCTGAATTTCTCCTCAGTTCACATGGCTGTATCATATCTATTCTTCCTACCCACTACCATTAATGATTCTGTAAAAAGCACATGCTTCAATTCCTGCTAACAGTTTCTGAACACCTTTTATGTGGCAGGCACTCTGGTAGGCCCTCATTGTGTTGAATGTTTAATGGGGAGCAGCTTGATGCGTAGAAAGATCTCAGGCCTTGGCATCAGTTAAGATTCGAGTTTGAACTGCTGCCCCGATGGACTAACTATACAGTCTTGGGCAACAGTTTCGTTTACCTGTCTTCTTAGCCTTGGCTTCTTTTTAAATGGAGATAATTATATTTGTTCACGAGATCATGTGAGGAATAAAGAAATCTTTCCTTTTTTTTGCAGCTGGCTGTTATAGGGATCCGAACCTGAGACCAGGGCATTGTTCAAGCTGCGCTCGAACCAACTGAGCTAATCAACCACCCCAAGGAAACTTCTCTTAATTCTCACATTCATTTTGCACCCAAAAATAAAAATCCCTCTGACTACATTTTTAAACGCTAATATTTATGCCTATAAAACACTGACGACACAATTTTTTGGTGACTTCTGTTGAAATCATTTAGGACTTTGGAAGACCACACTTTGTCAATTTTTAAAAATTTATCCTGGGGCCGGCCCGGTGGCGCACTGCTACAGTGCGCCCCTTAGGAGCGCTGCGGCGCTCCCGCCGAGGGTTCGGATCCCACATACAGACCGGCCGCTCACTGGCCGAGCGCCGCGCGGCCGCAGCACCCAGGGGG